CTGCCTATGCAGGGGGTCGGACTCGATGATCTATTGAGGTCCCTTCCAACCCTAGCATCTATGAATCTATAAGAGCCTAAAGCAGTGGTTCTCAACCTTCTTTGAATCAGGACCCATTTGTAAGCATCGATGGCCAGTCCTGACTCAGTAAATAATTTAAGTAGAAATTAAATTAGCAGTGTCCCACCCCCTCTCTCAGCCCCACAGTTTATTGGAAGTTAGATAGGCATCTAGCTGGGGTCATCTAAACCCAGCACTCTTCCCTGCCTATGCAGGGGGTCGGACTCGATGATCTATTGAGGTCCCTTCCGACCCTAGCATCTATGAATCTATGGTTTTGTGGTGAAGGAACTTGATTGCTCCTTCAAGGCCTGGCTTTTATCCCTTCCTCTGGCCCAGAGTTCTTATGCGATTCCAGGCAAGCTGTTTAAAAGAGAAGTGTCAGGTGTTCTCCATTTGTGTGGTCCTCTGTTTCTCCAGGCAAATTGAGACATGACGTCTGATACTCAAAAGTGCTGAGCAGCAGAATGCAATGGAAGCGGTGGCTTTTTAGTACAGATGTGTGTTTTCTTGCACGTAGTATTAGTGTACAGCCATCATTTTAGGAAGGGAAGATTTGCTGACCTGTCTGGACAGGGAAAGGATTTAGAGCAAGGAAAGGAAGAGGAATAAAGAACTGGAGAAGATCAGAAGAATTAAGATAACTTGGCATCCTGCAAATAGTTGCAGTTGTGAGGAGCCCTGTTTATTCACTGGGACTACTCACACGGGTAAGTTTTGGAAGGACACATATTGAAGCATATAAAATGGTGGAATGGTTCTTGATGACCGCGTGGAAGATTTGGGCCAAGATTTTGACAAGATACTTACAAATGTTACTGAGTTTTGATGTGGCTTAGACAGGTCTGCCAGTCTTAGCCTCAGCCTTTTTTCTTCTTAGTAAGTTGATTCGCTTGAGCCACTCTGAGCAAGCGTGCTGATTGTTAAGCATTGATGCTGTGTGGGTTCCCCATCCTTATTGAATTGTGTGGGCAGGTCTTGGAAGACATTTGCTAAGCATATCAGTTCTCAAATGTAACTAAGACCTGCCCCTCAGAAAGTACATGGCTTTATACTGAGGTTTGATTGGTGATACAGTGCTACCTGATGCCAGCATCACCCAGTCTGTATTGCTTGGACTTGGGGGGGGCGGGGGGGGATGGTTTGGGTTGTTCATGTTGCTGCTGTTTTCTTATAGCTCTTGATACATATTTGTTCTTACTCCTGTAACATTGTTTCCATACTCATACTAGAATTTTTCAGAAGATATTATGAAAATACTTAAAGAGTTTGACCTCCTTTTGCCTTGATTGGATTCGTGTGAATATATTTGAGAATAAAGATTTTTTTTTAAGTGATTTATTTTTTTGGCTTGCCTACATAGCCTTTTAATGTTGCAGGTACAGAGGGTGGCTCGCAAGACGTCTCTGTTACGTTCTCTTTGTGCAAGAACGTGATGTGCATAAGGGTATGTTTGCCAAGAATCTGACGGAAAATGTGTTAAACAGTGGCAGGTAAGATATTGCAAAGTAAACCGCCATTGTTAAGATCTGACTTTCCAGATTCATGCAGAATGTTGTTGTAAAGCTGCTACAAAATGAGTGCAACAAATGCTGGAAGCAGGGATGCTTAAAGTAAGATGAAGTACAGTATCTTTATGGCAGCTTCTCCTTTTAGCTATATATTTTTTGTTTAGAACAGTTACGGGAGCAGGGCTTACACATCTTAGCCTTCACGTCTTTAGAGTGGCTACAGGTAGACATGCAAGTAGCTTAATACAAAATATGATGAATAGCTTTTCACCCTTTCAGCTTTTGTTACCCAATTCTGAGAAGTGCTATGCTACATGCACCAATTGTAAGGGACCAGCTGAGGTTGTTGTATGTTGCTTACATTTTAAAAATAGTAAGGTAGACTTTCATATTACTGTCCAGATTAATCTAGTTCATACTTTATAACATATCAGATATGCTGACTATTCTGAAGGTGGGAGAGGGAAGCATTTGCTTTGCATTTCACCCAACAAGAACCATTTTCATGGAGCTGGTTTCATCTTTTAGAAAAGGGAGAATTCTCTTCTGTCTCCACTGACATACCTACCCCAGATGATTTTTCTGGTCTCTTCCAAGTTGTTGAAATCAAGGTATTCATTCTCTTCAAGTTGAGTGCAAGAAAGCTGTAGCACGTATTTTGCCTTCCAGGTCAGTTCTGTAAGGTGCTAAGTGCCCTCTACCCTACAGTTAATCAGAGTTGGGAGTGTTGGGTGCTTTGGTCCTAAACTGAGGCTTTTTCCAAAGCAGGTTGGTCCTTGTTGATTGAAGATGGTGAAAGGCAATTTGCGCTCTTTATTTGACTTCTTATTTTCTGTTTCTGAAAATCATTGACCAGCTTATACCAGCTTGCTTGTGAACTGAAATTATCTACCACGCTCTTTTGTTATAGCACCATTTTATATATTTTTCTTTTAAAATCAGAGTGCAGAAGGCCATTGTAGAGGAGGCTACTGAAACAAGTACATCAGGGAGCTTCGCTCAGGTGGACCCCAAGGCCATCAGCAAGGTGAAGAAGAAAGCAAGGAAGATTCTGCAAGAAATGGTAGCAACTGTCTCACCTGCTTTGATCAGGTAATAAAAATAGTTCACCAGAGATTTCTGCTGAGGCCCTGCAAGCTCTGTACAAATACTTCAGAGTGGCAATTCCTTACTGCCTCTCAAAACCCACTTTTAATGATATCAAAGAACACCAGGATTGTTCTGAAAAATGAAATGTAACCTGACTTCATGTCAGATACAGGAGTATTTGCAGACTTTTCAACAAACATTATGATACAGTGAAATGAGTGTACTTTTCCCTGTGAAGCTAAGCTCCGTATTATCAGCTCAGTGTAGCTAATAGTTGGTTTTTGCCTGAATCAGTTTAAAGTACCTTGTCTCAGTAACTTAGGCTCTGCAAGCTCTTATTGTCAGGCAATTTAATAATATTATTTTCTAGTTATGACTCTTAAGATGGAAATAAAGTCATGCTGCAGTATCTAAATAATCACTAATAGGTTTGGCAGGAATTCTCTAAAGCCTTCATTGACTAGTGAATTGAGGTGGTAGTATCTACTCCTATATTGCTGTTTGACAGAATTACAAAGCCCTGCCATTGTATCTATCAACTTTATCAAGCTGACACCAAAAGAAGGTAACTGTGAAGGAAACTTTAACTTCCCTGGGATTTGACATTTTTCTTCGTCAGGTTGACTGGTTGGGTGCTGCTGAAATTATTTAACAGCTTCTTTTGGAACGTTCAGATCCACAAAGGTCAACTGGAAATGGTCAAAGCCGCAACTGAGGTAAGACAAAAATAGATTCTTGAAACTGGGAAAGTTTCTGATGTTGCCCATGCTAGTGTAAACCAGTTATTTCACTGAATTCAGCGGAGTGTTATTAGTCTAAATGAGACCAAAAGCAGGCTTCAGTTTCAAGTCCTGTGTGCCCTTTCAACAGACTCTGTGACTTTATTAGATAATTTTAGGAATTGTGCAATATTTTTAAGTACTGTGTAACCATATACTCTGAAGGCCATAAACGGTCAGGTTATTTGGTATGACCTGCTTGTGGAATGATTGACCCTTTTTTATTCCCAACCCAGTGCAACAGCAGGTTAATACTTTACTAGTTTTTTAAACTTTCAAAATTGCTTTTACCTTGGTCATCCGAGGATGACCTTATCTTCATACTTGTCAGCAAAGTGTCTAGCTGATTGCTCATTTATTTACATTAATAAAAGCGGCCTGTCTGATTCTACCATTCTCTCTACCCAAGGGAGGCATTACTCTTAAAAGGCCATTTTTGCAATATTCTGAACTTTCTATTTCTTCCATGAGAAAATACCTCAGAAAAGTGAAGTATGGATAGTATACAGCATTAATATAAATAAATCCTCTGAAATGAGTGGTCAGAGTCATTCTGGTACAATTTGGCTGTCTGTAGGTAAGTTTCCTATAGCTTTCTATTGAGGTTTGTTGCATCTTCTACATTAACTCAGCAACTTTTGGGCAGTGGCAGAGACAATTCTGGTACATCCCCCCCAATAAACTGTCTGATACTATGTATCTTTAGAAAGTGTGAATATGGTACTTTCCCATAGTAACTACAATTTAAACACTGTTAGTGCCTGAAAAATAAGAATCTGTTCTCATTGCGAGCTGATGAAAGATAAGAGCAAAGCAGTAGAGAGATGAAATTTTAGAAGTTCTTAAGTTTTACTAATTTAAGGTGTTTCTAGCAATCTCATTAAAGAAAGGTAGGGGGAAATTGAACTTCTGTTAACTTTGTTATATCTTTTGTTTCCCCCTCAAATAGATGAATTTACCTCTCATCTTCTTGCCTGTTCACAAATCTCACATTGACTACCTGCTCCTCACATTCATTCTTTTCTGCCATAACATCAAAGCACCATACATTGCTGCAGGGAATAACCTCAGTATCCCTATCTTCAGGTAAGGACAGTTGGAGCTAAGCTTCCAGTTGCTCTCAAAAATAAAGCCACTGGTGAAGATCCTCAGCTGGTATGAATTGCCATGGCTCCACATCAGCTGAGGATCTGCTCCAGTGAATGCAGGTACATAGTGATCTGGGCATTGTGTTCACGTTGCTTGAATGTGTTTGGTTCTGACCCAGCATGCTCAAGAAAAGTCTTGCAAAATCCTTACAGAGGTTCTTCACAGAGAAATGGGGTTGCACAAGCTTAAGGGAAATTCTTTCCCCCTTCATCTACAGAGAGTCATTGGGAATCAGGGGGGTGCTATTAGGAAGTGGAATGCATAGGCTGTGAAGTAGGTGACCGTGCAATAGGAAAGTGATAGAGATGAGGCTGTTCCAAGTCCTGTTTTCTTTCTTAAATTCTGTAGTATTCACCTGTGAAACAGCATGGAAGGTGTAAAATGATGAGAAAAGTGCAGTGTAACACAGTGGTAGAATGAGTTGGATAGGTTCCATGGTACTGGAACTTCCAGTGGGATCTGTGTGGTAATGCTTCAGGGACCAGTAAGTACCTTAACAGTTTATGTAGAGAACAGAAAAGTTCGTTAAGGAGTTTTGGCTAGAGGGAATGAATCGGTGATATTTGAGCCTTGATTAGGGCATATGGCAGGTTTAAATATGATTCTGCCTAATCTTGTGATTTTGAAAATTTCAGTGTCTTGAGTCACTCTACTGAGTGACTAGCTGTCAGCTATTTGAAAGACACCACAGATTTCCTAAAATGCCTTTCTGAACTGTTAGTCTCTAAGGTGCTACTCTGCTCTGTTATCTGTCTCCTATAAGAAGAAGGATTCATAAAGGAGTTCAGTTGCATGCAAACTAGAAAATGCCCCATCTGGTTTAGTCCAATCATAATTGAAACCATAAGCATGTTGGTTTGTTTTTTTTATCCAAGGATTCAAAAGCAATCTGTTTTCCCCAAAGGCTTTTGGAGTTTCCCCAAGGGGTAAAGAGGCTAATTTTGGTACATTGCTAATTAGGAGGAGTGAAATATCTGAAGGTTGAGATCACTGACCTGAGTTTTTCAAATTGGGTTATTCACACAGTGTCTAGAATTTTTCCATAAATACTTTGCGAGGGAGAGTGACTGAGATGCAGCGTTCATCTGATGCAGTCATCTCTTAAATGTTCTGGGTGGTTTTAACAATGTATTCTTTTTATGTCTGACTAGAACCGTATCTTTCTTTTTCCTATGTAGCACGTTAATCCGCAACCTTGGAGGCTTTTTTATTCGGCGGAAGTTGGATGAGAACACTAATGGACGTAAAGATGCCCTATATAGAGCATTACTCTATGTGGTATGTATTTTTCTTCTGAATTAACATAAATACATTAATTTAGTTTCAGTTATCTGATAGATGGGAGAGTCTGCACTGTGTATACAAGGGGATATTTTCAGTAGCTTTTTAAACCTTAATTAATTTGACCAACTTTGATAGATCTGTGAATTATATTGATTTCTATAATGTGTTTTTGGAAGAAAATTTCCTGCTTATTTTACCCATCAAGCATGTGGGAGTTGAGAACATCTGGTACTTTTTAAGGTAAGTTAATTTTTCACTCCCTGCAGTCCTTATGAATGATTCTACAAAATTAACTCTAGGAGCCAGACTGAGATTCCTTTTGCAGCGATGTAAATTTCTTGTACCTCCACTGGCTCAGCTGAAGTTCACCTATTTCTGCTTATATTTTCTGTGCTTTCAATATAGAAAAACAAATAGATAATTGCAATTTAGAAGATGGGGTACAGTGGGAAACAATAAAAGAGAAGAGCTTAGATGGTTTAAAAATATACAGCTATTGTTAGGTTGCCTCCTTTTGTCTTTGTAGAAGTGCTCAACTTATATTAATAGAAATGAAATCAGAGTTTGGGCCGCTTATCTATCAAACACAAATTATTACTCCAGATTATTCATGTAGTTTTCTGTATATTTTAAATATTTCCCGCCTTTTTTTTAAATAGAAGGCTATTGGTGATATGGAACAATGAGTTTATTGCAACTCATTAGACTAGATTGTATAATTAGATATTTGTTTTTTCTCCTTTGTATTTGCCATCCATTTAGCACATTGAGGAATTGCTCAGACAGCAGCAGTTCCTAGAGATATTCCTGGAAGGTACACGGTCTCGCAGTGGAAAAACATCCAATGCCAGAGCAGGTCTCCTGTCTGTGGTTGTAGATGCTCTTTTTGCAAATGCCACCCCTGATGTACTAATTATACCTGTGGGAATTTCGTATGATCGCATCATTGAAGGTCACTATAACAGTGAACAGCTGGTAAGGACAACTGAAAACTTAGTGCTCTTTTTAGGGGAGTTTGTTTATATTCAGTAAACTCCTATCTATTTTTTGGTTCAGCACTGGTTTACCATTGGTGCCTTCATATTATGTACAAGTTAAATGCAAAGAAATATAGCTGTCTGTGCCAGGGACAGAGTTGATATTTGTCTGTCACACTTCTAGATACAAATTTATCACATAGCAAACAATAAACACAGTTGTATAAGCTAAAAAACCCAAAAGATTCCTGAGGTTATGATGATGGCTATACCCTTTTATAGATTAAATACATGTCAAGAGATTTGGATTGATTTTAACCGTGTTCTTGATTCTGTAAAAAATCAAAAAACTTTTCACTGCAGATGAATATTGGTTGTGCTTTATAATGTTTTGCAGGGCAAACCTAAGAAGAATGAAAGCCTTTGGAGTATAGCTAGAGGGGTTTTCAGAATGCTGCGGAAGAATTATGGGTGTGTCAGAGTAGACTTTGCACAGCCATTTTCTCTAAAAGTAAGTTTGATACCGTGGAAACATCCATCTCCTATGAACTCTGAGTTATTAGTAATTCAGAAGAGCTGCAAGCGAGGTCTCTCGGTCCACAAGCACTGCTTCAACCCATCAATAGAGTGATGATTTTTTTCCAGAAACCCACTGGCTGATACTTACTAGTACGTTCATATAGAGCTGTACATGTTCTCTAAAATATAAATATTCTGATAAAGGAGATAAGATCTCAAACTAGTTCACGCTAGTGTCTTGCCTTCAAGAGTTAGCAATAACAAATACTTTAGAAGCAAATAAAATTTCCCGTGATGCATCTGACTAGTTGTGCAGTTCAAAAATAGTAGTGCTATGCAATAGCTGACTTGCAAATAGATGTTTTTGTATCCTTGGATCCATTCTGCCATGTGCATTTAATATATAGAACTTCAGTTTGACATTCCAAACTTTGAAATATCAAAGGATTTTTACATGTCTGCTTAGTTTCCTCCCTCCCATCCCAGTTACAGCAGAATAGCTAAATTTTATTTTGGGAAACATTTAACTTTAAATAATCTTAGGGGTTTTTTTTTTTCTTTAAAGGTACTTCTCTCTTTCACAAGCCTGGAAAAAGCAATGTATCCCCACCAAAAAAAGGTTTTTTGTTGGGGCTAGTACAGTGGTGCTTAGCATTTTGGCCTCATGGGCCAGATAAGTGGCATGGCCCCATCCACCGGGAATGGGCTCACATCCCCAGATTGGGCCCATGTGGCCTCAGCTGGCCCCTGCACAATGTAATTACAGTGCATCGGAGCGGCTTCTCTGCACCTGCATAGGTGCCCTTCATGCTTAAGTATATTGATTCTCACAGTAAATTGTTATGATAATGCTGAATGTGCCAGTATGTCAAATGTTTGGTATGTTGTCAAAGTATAACTTAATAGGGTATCTTACTGAGGTGTGAGGAAAGCTTGCTAGCATTTTATGCAGATTATTTGAGAGTAGAGACATTTTTTGCTGAATTGCCACAGTCTGTGACTTTAATGACATGAAGCACTTGAACAGTCAGACTTCTGATTCCTTAGGTGTTCTTCCTCCTACTCATTCTTGTAGAAAAGATTTATGTGTGAGAATTTTGAGTGTTAGTTACGCTCCAAACAATATAATGCATTGTAGTTAACAGTAGACAACAGAGCTGTTAATACACTGCTACATAAAAAGTATGGATCCCTTCCAAGCTATTCGTGGCATGAAGTTAGCAGTTGTCCATAGATCATTTGTGCCTTCTTACGCTTTTGAAATACAAAATTGGCCTGTATCTATTCTTTAACCATAACATGGCTACTGACTTCTTTTATGCCCTGTTTGTGTTAAGATATTTGCACTCTACAATGGGTTAAATGTGAAAGAAACTTCTCTAAGCATGTCTGTGTTTAAAGGTTTGCAATAAATACAGCTATTAAATCAATTTAATTTGACCTGAGTAGGTTTTCTAGTGTAGACAAGCATTTCGGCATCAGTTTGAGCTCCTGCAATCTTGTGGCTATAGAAGTGGAAAGTAAGTGGTAACTTTGCTGTGAAAATTTATCTTAAAAACAGCTTTTCTGTAAGAGGAATGCTTACTGCATGTGCAGGCTAAGTTTCCTGGTTTTGTGAGCCAATCTGTACAGGAACTAGAGGAATATCATGTCCTGAAGACTGAATGGCAAAAGTAAACCTTTAAAGATAGAAGCTTTACTTATTCTTGAAAAGCTGGGCCTTCATTCATTCCAACTGTGTGCTGCACCTCCTTGATGGCACAAGGTTGAAGGCACAAACCAAAGGAAACACCTGGTTTCTGAGCTGTATTGACAGTACCGTGGGTTATGTCAGAGCCAAATTTCCTACAGTGAAGATGTCCTCTCTGCTGGGGCTTGTTAAGAGAGCCCTTTTGCACCATCACTGACATTGGTATGATGCACAGGCACTTTGATTTTGTTCCTATTCCTCAGTAAAAACTACTATTAATTTTATTGCTACAGAATCTAACCCCAAGGGAAATGTTGCCAGAGCAGTGGAGGTGAGGGGAATATCTCCATAGCTGCTTTTTTATTGTTGTGCTTTCCTCCAAGTAAGAATCCTGTTCACATTGGAAGTGTATTTCCTTTCTGCCTAATTCCAGACCCATCTATATGCCAGTGAATAAACTAGCAATTTTCTCTTTCCCAAAACCCTACTATTTATTTCATTCATTTTCTTAAAATCACTTTTGAATTTACTTGCTCTCCTGCAAGGCTTCCTTTTCTCATACAAATGGGATAGCTAGGTTGGCTATTGGATGTTGCATGTAATAGTGGGAACATACAAACCACAATTCTTCTATTTACAGGAATTTGTAGACAGCCAACATCAGAAACCTGCACCTGCTTCACTTTCTTTGGAACAAGCTCTATTACCAGCTCTACTTCCATCAAGGTAGGATGTTGTCCCAAAACTTTTTGAGAGTGTTTTTTTTAGTAGAATATATTTTAAATAGTGCTTGGCAGCTATAGCCTTAAGAGCAGTCAGAATATTTTACTTGCAAGCCTTGTGGAAAATTCATGAAGAATTACCAAAGGCAATAATTTTATTACAGGCAATAATTTTACAGTGATTTTTTTTTTCATTATGCCATAGAATTTATTAGAAAAATAGTATTCTGCAGCAGAAATATATCAAGATATTAAATTCTGTATTTTAGAGTACTTTCTCATGAATGTTTCTAGGTTTAATTAATTTTAAATTCTATAGAACATTTTTGGGATTGAGGAAAAAAGTTTTTATAAATTAAATTCTCCACATAAACTAGATTTGATTTTTTTATGACATTAAGGTGAAATGCTTAATATTCCTTTACCTCCTGATGTTTTCTAATTCAGGACTGTATTATGATTGTTTCTGCTCTTATTATTAATATTACCAATATTACTTGCTATCATACCCAATAATTTTAAATTGTGCTCAAACTATGAAATAGTTCTGTGGACATATACCTACCTTTCTCAGACAGTTTTAGTATATTTGAATAATATGCATAATTTATGTAAGCCTCTGAGGAACCACTAGATGTGTTTAGAAATAATCTGAATAAACTCTTTTATCCTGAAAGAGTTGTCACGTCATAACTAAACCCTTGCTTTAATATGCAAAACTGCTGGACTGAAAACTGCCTTCTGAGAAGGTTTGCATAACATGCTTTTTGTTGCCCATATTCACTGAAGAGGAAAGGCTGTGCGGCATGTCTGATGTAATGGAGAAATCAATAGCAGTAGAGCATAGTGTCAATGTTTGGTATTGCTTTTTTTAAAGTAGAACTAGGATTCTGATTGATGTGGGAAGGAATTTAGAATACATGTAGAGAGACTGTTATCGTGGATATAATGGAACTTAAGAGTGTTTTTAAGATTTTGTGCACTCTGTTAAAAGTGTCTTCACTTTTTTGTGTGTGTTCATTTAGTGCTTGTAGAGGACCATAAATACATAGGTTTTTAATGTTTTAGCCAAGAGTTGGATATTTCACACCATAAATTATTTCCATTCCATCTTCAGGCCTAATGATGTTGAGGAAGAAGGTACAGAGGCTGCACTGCCAAACTCCAGGGACATAAGTAATGAACATTTTAGAAGACAGTTGATAGCCAATTTGGCTGAGCATATATTGTTCAGTAAGTATTCAAATAGTCATACAGTACCTGTTGATTTTGGTCCTCCAACCTCATACACTGCTTGACTGTTTGGTATCTTTTTATGTGACTTAAGGAGACTTCTTTGTTTTTGCCCTTTCAGATATGAATTTTCCTGACATCGTTTTTCTCCTCTTTTTCTTCCCCTTCTCTTATGTAGTGGTCTTGGACTCTTTACAGGACTTTTATTTCAGTTGCTTTGAAACCTCTGTGATGTTTAAGTTTCTGTGCTGGAACGCTCACTTGCTATGCCCATAAGCTTGTGCCCCCCTCTTTGGTATAGTTGGGTTTTTTTTCCCCTGGACCATAAAAAGTTGCTCCTTGAAACAGAGCTGTTGAATACAAAAAGCTTTTAAGAATTACTAGAGTTAGCTTGTCTGATTATCCCACATTGCCAGGTTTCATGCGTATAAGCCAGTGGTATAAGCACTGGAGCTGATTTGTGCACCAAGATGTATGTAAAATGGTATTTAGTTGTTATATATTTTAGGAAATGCTTTATGTAGAATACTTTACCTCTGCCAGAAAGGTGAGTGTGAGGATGATTATATTTTATATGCAACTTAAGTTAGTGAGAATTACGGTGACTTACAAAGACCATGCAAAAAATTAATGATTGGGTGGAGTTGCATTTTTGAGTGACTTCTCACTTCTTGCCTATTGATTAGTTCCTTGAAGTTGACTGCAACCCATTGGAAGTGTCAAGACCCCTACAGTGGTAGCTGATTATGATTATTAGTTAATTTATGGCTGTTGTATAACAGCCTAATGATTTCCTAATGCTTCCCTGATTTCCCTGATTTCTAACAAAGTGCCGCATAGCTTTATTTTATTTTTTTTGCTTCTAGCTGCTAACAAGTCATGTGCTGTGATGTCAACGCATATAGTTGCCTGTTTGCTGCTCTACCGACATAGGCAGGTAAGACTGCAGTGCTGCTGCAATACGTTATTGTCATTCAGGCTTGCAAAATGGCAGTGATGTGTGCATTTTAGTAGTGTTTTAGAAGTAAGGAATATGTGAAATATATTTGAGCTAGTATACTTCAATAAGCATTCCAGATGGCGGTGCATGTGTTTATTAAATTACTGAAAATTATTGAATTTTGCTGAGATGCAGTTGTTTTTTCCTTTTTATAAAAAAAAAAAAAAAAAAAAAATCTATTTTTTCTGAAACCAAGACTTATTCGTGCATTTAATTTAATTTTTTGGGAATGGAGTTTTTTTTTTCTTTTTTAAAAAAAAAAAAAAAAAAAAAAATCTATTCTATCTGTAATCCAGAGCTCTTTGTGCATGTAAAGGACTGGAAGTATACAACATACACGTAGGAAGAAATGGCCAACATATAGAATCCTTCCCAATTAGGACTTTCTCTCCATCCAGTTCAAACCATTCGTTCCCTTTTCCTCTAGAGACCCTGAAGGAAAAGGGTGTTTTTGAGCTACATCTGAACATGTGGAATACAGCTTCTGTTAAAGTGGTCTGGAAAAGTGAGGTTGGAAGGGACCTCAGGAAGTGATCTAGTCCGTACCCTGCTCAAGGCAGGATTATCCCTGATTAAAATGTTCTGTGTAAGCCTTGGTCTAACCCAGTGGTGCTCAACCTTTTTTCCCTGGTGGGCTGGATGGGCAGTGCTCCATCCGCCTGTTTTCCAGATCCTGTTGGATGTTCTGATCTGGTGTTGGGGATGGAGCAGTGGACACCATTTGGCCATGCAGAGTGGGAAAGGGAGTATGGCCTGGCCCTGATTCAGGTGCAGGGGAGGAGGCATGGCCTGGCTGCAGCTGGCAGTGCTAGGCTTGGGGTTTGGGAATTTGATGGGGGAGGGTGACCATTTAATGGCCACTGCTCCCCTACTGCCAAATTTCCCAGCCAGTGGGAAGCCCCTGGACCAGCTGTGATAGCTTCGTAGGTCACATTTGACCTGCCGGCCAGAGGTTGAGCACCCCTGGTTTAACGTGTTCTTGAAACCAGACAAGGAAATGGTTATCCTCAAGCCCAATGCCGATTAAGCAAAAGGTCTGTCAGCTAAGTTATCTTGGGTAATTATGACACTGGGGCACAGAGAGAAGACGAGATCTCTAAAGTATCCAGGTTAAGTAAAAGATAAGGTTTTATAGCGATAAACTACTTGGCAAACAAAACAGTCACGTCCTGCACTAGCTGCAGTTGCTGTGGGCTTTTAAGTTATGTGCACATGTCTGGTCAGAGGTGAAAAAAATCATGAGTTACATCAGCAAAATCTGTGCTAAAAGAAGAGACTTAGTTGTGGTTTAGATTATTGATGATAAATTATGCCTTCATGATTTATCTACTGTGTTTGGGGCTGCAGGTAAGTTTAGCCAGTCTTTTAAAATTCTGTCTTGCACAGTTTGTTTTTTTTAACCTTGTGGCTCTGGTTGTTCAGGGAATTGATCTGTCCAAGTTGGTGGAAGACTTCTTCTCCATGAAGGAAGAGGTCCTGGCCCGTGACTTTGACTTGGGATTTTCCGGGAATTCTGAGGATGTTGTCATGCATGCTATCCACCTGCTGGGGAACTGTGTCACTATCACGAATACCAGCCGAAACAATGAGTTCTTCATCACTCCCAGCACAACTATCCCTGCTGTCTTTGAGCTCAACTTCTACAGCAATGGAGTACTCCACGTCTTCATTAATGAAGCCATTATTGGTATGTGTTTATATTTCAGCAAATCTAGCTGGAACTTTAGTATTGCTTTATGATTCTTTTTATAGAGCTCTTCCTACATAATTAAATTATTTAGGGTCAGAAACTTATTCCCTCTGTGCTTTACCCCATGTTCACAAAGCACAAATAGTCAAATGCGTTCCAAGTTCCTTTTTGCCCAGTCTTCCTTGAAAGGATCCATGCATTGATTACTGCCAAAAGCAGGATATCTGACTATACAGACCAATGGTTTGTTTCATCTTAAAATATTTTAATAAGATAATATTTTGTTTTACTTTTCATTAGCTGGTCATGGATGGGTTAGCAGCTTCCTCTTTCAGCTTGTATTCCACACTATTCTTAATGCTTATTAATGATTTGATCCAGATCACAGTTACGAGCTTCCTTACTTAACTTAGAGACTGTGATATATAATCTTTTACTTTACTTCACGTTATCTTTTGAATTCTGGGTTCTTCAATTACACAGCAGAGTGGTTCATGTGTTCATATTGTATATAGAATAATTTTATTTTTATTAATTGATAGACTTTTCAATTGCGTGCTTTAATCATTGCCAGTTTTAGAGCTCAGAATTTACTTGTTATCAAGCTTAAATCTGCTTTATTAGAAAATCCGTAATGAAAACGAACTGCTTTTGTGTTCACATGTCTGCTGTAGCCTGCAGTCTTCACGCAGTACAAAGTAAAAGGCTTCGAAATGGAATCAATGGTACTTCTCCCAACATGATTAGCCAAGAACAACTGATCCGCAAAGCTGCCAGCTTGTGTTACTTGCTTTCCAATGAAGGCCCTGTCTCTCTGGTAGGTGAATTCCATTGCAGCATTTTCCATGTCTTAAAGTCTGTTCTGCCAATGTCTGCTTTCATTATTTTAGAGGGAGAGAGTTTTCTTTTTTTCTAATATTTACTTTATTTTGATTCATTCCATGGCTGGGTGGGGGCATCCATAAAAAGAAGGAAAATACCATTGCTTGTATTTGTTTCAACACAATGCCTCTACATTTGAATTAACATAGTTAATTAGAGTAGTGTACTTGAAATCATATGAACCAACCAACATGATGTGAATATAACCAGTCAGTTTACCAGCTTGTTTCACAGCCAGATGAGATGATATCAATGGGTATGGTGCTTACAACATGCTTGGAGGATTTGAAGGCATGTTTAGTGAATGCTTGTTGCTTCTATAAATGACAAACTGCTAATACTGGCATTGAGCCTGGAACTTGCCTGCTATTTTAGTAACAGACCTCTGCTAAACAAAATCTGCCAGTCTGTATCATGCTGCCAAGCTGTGTGATGTCTTTGTGACCTTAATAAACTTAAAACTATGAAATTAAGACCACCAGAGCCATTGCATATGTGGCTGGAAGCAAAGCTGAAATCAGGCCTCCAGAATTTAGGGAATTTATCAAACACTGCAATAGTTATGCTTTGCCATTCCTAACATTTATTAGCAATTATATGTATGGTCTGACATAACGTATTTTGATTTCAAACCAGTAGAGGATTACTGGTAGGTATCTCAACTTTAGCATTATTAATTTATTGTATATCTTTAAAAACAACAAAACCAATCTGTTTTTCCTTGCTATTTGCAAATGCCTATTTGGAACCTGAGAAACAGTGTCCTTTCCCTCCTGATTTACTTCTCACACTGGCAAGCATTTCTGTTTCCCCCCCCCCTCCTCCTCAC